ATCTCGACAGAGATTTCTCTTTCTCTCTGCTAGAGATTCTTCAGTGTAATGGCACACGTGTGATAACGGTACGTATATAATGTGACTGCTTGTGAGAAGTTTCTATGAAATTGTTGCGATTGTACTTTCGTTTCTTTCTTTAAGTAAGTGTTCCTTCTTGCGGTATATGGGTCAGGCAAGAACTGTGTTTTACTTTTCGCTGGCTATCGGTATATATATATGTTTGACAGTGGGTATTTTTAGTGCAACTCTGTTACGATCTTGACGTTTTGAATATTATCTAAACATTTGTCTTTTGCGTTTGGCTCGAATATGATTACTTTACGAGTTGTCGAGACAGAAAGAACAACTGTTTCTTCTGTTTTAGAAAAAGTGTTTTGCAAAAACAACAGCTTTGCTTGATCGATTAAACTTGACGATCATACTGTGGATTTTTATGTATTTTAAGGCGTAAAATTGATAAAAAAAAAAAAAACAGTGTATAAAATAATGCTTTCTGTAACATTTACTACATAAAACAATTTCCTGCTAGAATTATATTTTCAAAAATATATGAACTTTTATTAGAATAATGATCTGTAGTTTATTAATAATAAAATCTACAATTTTGAGAGTAAGTCGAAATAAATAGTCTTGTAAAAAACGAGATATATTGTACATTACATAAATTAATTTAACATTCTGACATTTCAATCACTGCATTTTTTCCCCGTAACTGTCAAGATTTCCATTAGCTTCACGTTTGTCTGAATAATTAATTGCCTGCGCTATCATGCAAAATACAGCGAATTTTTTGTTTTCAACAATGATCCGTACAATTGTATTCTAAATACAATCCTCCGGAACGGTTACCATTTATTCTTCGATTACACTCTTTGATTAAAATGTTTTTCCCGTCGTTTATTTATTTAAAATTAACGTGTAACATTTCAACAGAGGAGTGCCATATTTTGGCATTATATTGACAAAAACGTGTGAGAACGTTTCTTTGCAACGAAATGCTCGGAAACGAACGTAATTCAAAATTACCAGGGGGGGGGGGAAAGAGGAAACATGGTTTATCCGGGCGGGGAACGAATTGCGCGCGAATTTTTACTTGTGTGCCATCAGTCTTGATCGCGTTTTCAGTAATTGACAGTTTCATGTCCGCTCGCATTTCACACTGTTTCTATCTATACGCCCCCATCCGTCCGACGCGTTCCATATCCTTCTCTGTATTATTGATCATTACCGGCAGAAATCATCATGCCGAGAAACAATGAACGTCACATGGTCATGCTCCAACTATTGACGCGTATAATTATCGCCGGAATCGATCACCATTTTGAACGGTGTGAACCGTGAAAGGACTTGCAATACGATATGCAAAGTGAATGCGTCATCAAAAATGCAACAAGACGACGTTTTTTTTTCTTTTTTTTTTTTTGCATGCCACGTTATGGCGTTATTCAGGACCGATTTGCATATTAATTCGTGAAGGAACATTGTGTTGACACGACATACCGTTTACAACTTTTGCCAAACGATTTGCATTCGTCAGATTCTATTTTTTTTTTTTTTTCAATTTCATTGGTCATTGGAAGTATCATAAAAATTTATACTATATTATATTTTGAAATTTCATTCAACCTTGCTGCTAATTCCTGTCGAAGAAAAGAAAAGAAAAAAGCATGGAAGACAAAGCAAAATTAAACAACTTAAATTATCAGAGTCATATGTGATCTTATAATAATATTGCAATATAAATTTCATCTATTCCATATGTGTTACATATTCCATCTAGATTCTGATGAAATTCCAAGGAATCGAAACATTTCCAGTATCATAATGAATAATTGCTGAATGACCCTCGAATAGTCGATATTTTTGAAAATAAATACGACATATGTTTTAATGTCAGTTCGTCGAAAATTGTGTTTCATTTCTTCTTCGTCCCTTCACTCGTTTTTCCATTTCTTCATCATTACATTGTTACGATCAATAATTGTAAAATATAAATGTAAACGAAAGAAACACTCTAATTTCATTTTTAATGGAATTCTACTGTGCAGGAGAAGAAAGGAACGCGATAAAAAAAAATGTGAACAAATTTTCAATAATCCACCCAGTTCTTGCATCTTCTTCAGAAGCACATATTTTGCATGAAAAGTTGTACAAATAAAGTGAATATCTTACGAACTCATTCGCTTTTCCAATCGTTCCTTTGTGTAGCTACCTTACATTTTCCAATTCATTTGACTCTGTAAATTCATTCTCGCTTCTCCACTTTATATCACGAACGTACACCTGTCTCACACATTTCTATTTCTGCCTGTTATTTTATCACTCCCTTTCAAAAGAACTTCAACTTGCTCGCGTTAACACCTGCAAAACACGTGTACGTTCAACGACACACGAATACAAAGATTTTATCAGAGGATAGAAATTCGCGGGGAGAGATGCTTTTTCACAGGTGGGAAAACCGAGCGGCGATTAATATTATACCGATCGGTATAACAGAGGGACGAGAAAGGCATTGGCTGGTGCTTTACACGCGCGGCAAATAAAATCGACGTATAACCGCGGACCGGTCAATTTCTATCCGGGACAGTGTGATTACGAGCCGCTAGGCTATTCCGCGTGATTTGTCGACTGGGGGGG